ACATCAAAGAAAAACCAAAGAAAGTACAAGTGCCGACGATAATTTCAGTATTTATTCGTTCGTTAAATCATTGTAACATGGTGTAACGTTTTCAAAAGTTATTACTTTTGCGCCACTCCTTTTAATATTTTAAGCTTTTCCTGAAATGTAAAATCAAATAAAGATAAAATTGAAAGAGGAAACGACGATGAATATTGTCTATATTATTGAAATTCTTTGAAAACTCAATCACTTTATATAGTTTTCTGTTATTATTATTTACATATACGTATATACGGGTGTACAAAATTGTATTCTTTTTATTAAACTAGTTTCCTACTTCCTTTCTTAATAGTTTAATCTAATTATTTACTACATTCCGACATTTTGCCATTTCGAAATGTAAAACTTGAAGGCTGCAAGGTACACGCCCCAATAAGTAGGCAACACATGTTGATTAATGATTTATGAACTCTACTTCCAGTCGCTGCAATAATCGTTGAAGTAACAAATTATGCCCGGCAGGCTGCGCTACAATAATGCATCATGTTCAATGAGCGGCACCAACAATAAAAGTAAATTATAGACTCATGCCGGACGGCACGTGTTCAGCACTTCTCCTCTTCCTCCAACTGTGCCTGGTCCTGTTGCAGAGTTTTGCTGTTGACTTTTTTTGAGTAATTTGCTCATTTTTAATTTTTCAATAGGCGGGCTGACGAAGTCAGACGAGGACCAATCCGACGAGGAAAACAGCAAGTTAGAAGTATTTATTAAAGTACAAAGTGAACGCAATTCTAGACTTTCTGGTTGTACATAATTAATATAGTGTGTATTATTACTTTCCATACTGTCTGGCATTGTCTGGCGCATCCTATGGTTCTTATGTCACTAAATCTTTGTTAACATAGTTGCCGATTACCTGTCATTCGTTTTGTCTGCCTCCCATCAGGCGTACCTAAGTACATTATACCAAGTGCACACATTTATTTCAAAAGTAATGGACAGACTGCTAAGAAGCGACAGCGACAGTAACAACGACACGACACCAAACAGGATATGAAAGCCAGTGCCAGTGCTTGTATATATTTATCAAAGTAGCTGTCCGATATAGGCAACCCAACCTATTCAGTTGTATTTTCTGGGAAAACGTATCTACACAACATTTCCGGTAAGGCTTTTGGGCTCTTGTTTTTGTTTTGTCGATTCGATGCTTTATCATATATATTGCAAATGTATTTCTTTATTAAAATTTAATTAAATGTTAAATTTTGGTTCATTTTTTACTAAAGAATTTTTTTTTGCTTTTTTAACTCAAAGCGATATTGAATGGGCGTATGTTTAATGCAAATAAAACAATGAAAAACCAAATTATTTACAGCAAAGAAAACGGCTACCAATCTACATAAAATTATTTGGAAATATTGTATTTACTTTTTTTTGAAATGACTGGGATAATTGATCGACAAATTAAAATTCAAAGCTTAGACAGTTGAAAACTTACCATTCAATGTACATTATAATACTTAGACAATGAAATAGTTCTTTCAAGAAAATGCAAATATCCTTCCTCAATAATTATTTAACGGCTCGTTTGACATTTTGTTAAGATTTCTTGTACTTTACCGACCTTATTAGCCTCTTAAACTGACTACCTATCGCTTAAATAGAGTAGAATTTATACATATACACATATACAAGTATATTAATTAGTTTTCTTGGACACTAGTTCTCCATTCCCTTTTATGAAATCTGCACACAATTGTTTCCTGTAAGAATCTTTTGATTATTTTGGTTATCTTCCGTTTATACTGAACCACTCACATTTATCAAACACAAACGCGCAAACAAAAGGTAAACTGCATTTGCCATTCGGTTAGGGTAGAGATGACGGCGTATGCGACGGTCGACGTTTGACTTCCGTTTCCGTAGGCAACGGCGCTGACTGCTGTTCTGCGAGCTTCCCAACTGTGCCAGCCAGCCCAAAGGTAACTTCGACTGCTTAAGAACTAAATCCCAGAAAGGTGAAATAAATGTGTGTAAGAACTTTTGCAAATTAATTACACATAGTACTCGATGACAAAGTTAATTGCAAGAGACATGGAAATTTCAATTGTCTGCCGAAAGGAATACATGACTCCACCTCCCATGAATAATGGATGGATATATAATATATTATCTGTGTCTTGTGGTGTTCTGCACCTCAAAGCTAAATTACCTAAATCCTTCGAACTGTGTTAATTGTCGCGAGAATGCCAAAAGGTGTGGCGGGGCATAGTTTGAAATGCATAATTTGCATGTATAATTCTAACTTGCTGTGAAATCAATCACAATTGTCTTTATAAAACATTTATGTACTTAAGGTTGGTTGTATTGCATGGCATACTTAATGATTTGAGTTCGTGGCCGTAAGGCAGATAAATTAAAATATAAATTATGGATGCCAATTGAAAGAAGCGTGTGTCAAAGCGTCTATATGTTTGATTACTTTTGCTAAACAGCCGTAATGTGGTACACAATAAAAGCAAATAAATAGCAATAGGAACAAAACAGTGGGCCAAACACAGTGCAATTCATTTAAAAGGCTTCTTTAAGAAAAGCCCATTACACTTAACGAATACAATTTTTGAGCTGTTATTTAAAATACAACTGCATTCTTTTTCTAGTACTTGTCTGCCTAAAGGTTGTAAATTTAGTTTATCGAAACCAGCAATTGTTTCCGGATCAGAGTTAGTCATAAGTCCTCTTCCCCCTCCACACAATCAAAACGGAACAGATAGGCAAATTATAGTAGTTAAGCCCGTAATTTGTTCATAGACTAAGTCCATTGTAATCAAATAAGTAGTAAATAGTAGTAGTAGTAAATAAATTATTTTTATATTAAAAAAAAAGAAAAAAAGTTAGTGCTTAAATATTTAAGCGAATTCAATAAAATGCAAATATTTTTCCCAAATTTCAAGTGAATTAAGATGAATACAAATTCGTTTCAGAAAGAATGAATCATCTAAAGGAACATAATATTTATATATTGCTCGTTTTAAATAAGAACTCATGGCTTACTATCGAAAACTATCAATGGTGCAGACTACCAATAACCCAATAAGCCAATAAGATGGTTGATGATGCTCTAAGTCTTTAAAGTAAAGCAAGGACCAGCAGCTGCTACACACATTAACAATTTTACAATAAATTTATTCTATAAGGCTGACGCTAAATTTTCAACTTAAATTGCATTTATAGCCCTCTTTTTGTCAAGTATTTAAATGATTCATATCCCCAATTTAATCAACGAAATAAATGTCACAATCTCACTTCAAAGATCCAATGTTGACGAGCTGGGCTGCAAATTATTCACTCATGATTAATGCCCTCCTTATACTGTCCATCCCCCTAAACTGCGAAATATATTTAATTAAATCTTGTTGATTTTGATGTAATTTCACCAAAAGAAAACAACGGCCCGAAAAAAAAATACAAAATAACAAAAATTTTAAAGAAGATGATTTTAATAAACTTGTCTCTCGTTTAAAATGATTTAATCATATAATTGATGTCCCTCCTATGGCTGAGGAGTGAGCGTTGAGCGTCGGCCCTTAATGGTGGATGATGAAAACGCTTGCGATTTAGATTGACGCAGCTTTATAATTTGATTACATAAACAAGCACACATCCACAGTCAATTTTAAGGAGCATTTGAATATGTAAATTTACTGTTGTGCATTGAAAGTTTATATTATTGCTATTTTATAAACCACAACTGATCTGAATAAGCTATTTCAACATTTAAGTAAAATATTACGAATACGCAACGTATGCCACACACAGCTGTTAACAACAAAATATGTATGTTACTATCCACTTCACTTCGCTCGAAGCGACTGAATATTCATGAATTCTAAGGTCTTGACGGCTGGCGATAAAACCATGGAAATAGTGATGTTCGAGAGATTACAAAAATTTACGACATCACAACAACAACAATAAACCCTGACAAATGTATAAATTTGACAAAATACAATGAAAGTACACAGGACTTTTTAGAAATAAGAAATCAAACAAACATGCGATAATTTTGGCAAAATCAATTTATTTTATTCAAAATAGCCTCTTTTGGACTCCACACAGAGATTTGCAAGGATTTGAAAAGCAGCAGTTACATGTGTTTACCAGATAGAACAACTTTCGGTTGTGAACTTGGAACTCGGAACAAAGCAAGAAACAGATCCAATTGTTCGCTTCATAATTAATTCTACTTAGGCTGGACATTTATATTTCATATAAGTATTATGCAGTAAAATTCTAACTCTTAGCATCATTCAAAACGACAATTACAGTAGCAGAACCAAACTGTATATTTTTTTTATTAAAAAAAAATATACAATCACCTTATTCACTTTAAAACTGTTCTTAAACAATATAATTTGAATATTTAAGCTGAGCATCACGGCGCGCCACCATGTGTGCAACCCAAAGCTCAATGCTATAAAGAACCGGTTCCGCAGCGTTGCCATGCACAACCAAAATCGAAACAGCTGTTGGCATATTAGAGCAGTACAGCTATAGGAAGCAATGCGGCGCGCGCATAATAATTTAAAAAGAAACGGTTGCTGCTTAAAAACAGAATTTTAAGAAAACCACAAAACAAAATACTAAACTGTACCAACCAACACAGTTATTTATTATTATTATTTTATTATACACGTAGATTACCCTCCGCAATGTGTTATTTAGACTTGCTTATTATTTACTTAATATAGCAATATTTATTGTTCGTAAGTAAATAGGGCAACACATTTGAAACGAAATTTATTGCATGAAAATGTACATCGAAGAAAAGATATATTTCATTGAAACTAAAGCTAAATCGAACTATGAGAGCTAATTATTAAAATTATTGAAATTGAATGGGCAATCCATTCATTTTATAACCATAACCATTGTCAGAGAATTGATGAAGATTTTAAAAACTAGGAGTATTCAATATTGGGTAGAGTAATGGCTTTTCCAAGAACTAGTCCATGAAAATTCCTGATTAAAATTAAGAAATGAAATACTAAATTGCTTTGGCTTGACAAGTGTTTCGCTATTATTTTGCATAAAACATTGCATAACATTATACAAATTATCACAAGGGGAGCATATACGCCCTTAAAACTAATGACTACTAGACAATAACAAATAAATAACAACTACATGACTACCCGAAACCCAATTTCTAAGCAGACTTTACGCCATCGCCGGCGAGGTCTTCATGCGCCACGCATTCTTAATCATATCGGCCGCCTTCTCAGCTATCATGATGACGATGGCATTGGTGTGTCCGGCGGGAACATTTGGCATGATCGAAGCATCGGCAACGCGTAAGTGCCTGATGCCATGTACTCTCAGGTTGTCATCCACCACGGCCGTGGGATCCGTTACTGGACCCATTTTACAGGTGCCCGACTGATGCTGCAGACTGGAGCCATAACGTCGCAAACAGCACTTCCAATAGTCCTGACTGGCAAATTTTAGATGTTCGCAGCCGGGGAAGGGGCGAGCGTGAAAGTGAGTTCCCATTTTTAGCATAGACTTGGAGTGCGCCAGTTTCAAGATCTATAAATAATGAAACAGACAATAAGTTAAATGAAGTATTTGCATTCCAATTGCTTACGAACGAATGACCTGAATACTAAACTAAAACACAGCAACGTTTGCTCATTTCAAAATAAAATTTCTCCCATTTTATGTGTTGATACATTTTGATAGTAAAGCTCCAAAAATAAACATATACTTATTGGCTCGCTTATTAATTCGGTTTTAGGTAAGGAAAGTTTGCTTTTGTGTTTGGCCCACGCATTCTTTCTTATCATAAAAATGTACCACAAACCATTGATGAGACCCATTAAACTGGAAATTTGACTAAATTATAAAATGCAATAAATACCCTTCAAACGATTGAGTTAAAACGAAAATAGGAACTCAGCTTCTGAGCAACAGGAATTTGAACATAAATTTTAGACTTTAAAATCTACATTTTATGGAAATCGGACAACCTCATTCTCTCATTCTCATTCGGGTTGACCAGAAGAGGCACAAACATATAAATAAATCTAATAATTCAAAATATTCTTCAGTATAATTTATATTTAGATACTCAAGAATATATTTTCTAACATAAGGTATAGGAGCAGAAAGTTACCCTAATACTTATTTCAACTTAAACAATCATTTGATTTCAATAAGACGTTAGAGTTAAATCATTGCTTGAGAACATTCCTTAATTGGGACTAAATCCCTTAATTGGGACTAAATCCCTAAGGTATATTATTATTTTTGGTAGAAAAATTGATACCACATTTACATTAAATTGAAAACTGCACATGCTAGAATAAATTGTGGGATACAAGAAGGGAGAGATTAGGACGATAATATAAAATACTAAAATTTTCAACGTCACTTTTCCATGTTACATACTATAATTTTTAGGGCAAAGAGTGCCCGATAATTCAAGATTTATGTCGGAATGTGTTAGCTGCAAAGTGCCTTACCATTTCGATGCCCTCAATCATGGCACGTACATCATCTGGATGTTGCATAAAGTTCGGTTCCATGCGGGGCCAATGGAAAGGATTGCGGCTGCGCAGCGAGATGCGACCCCGACTCTTGGGTCGGAGCAGTACAGGCACCAGACCAAAGGTTTCCTTATTGTGCAGATCCCCGAACATGGTGTCGTAGAACTCATCAGTAATGCCGAGCAGATCGCGCATGGTTCCGAAACGGTCGCCACTAAGCGAACCAGCACCCAGGACCAACTCCATGTCCGCATAGTCATCCTCTGCGGGGTAAGAGGGACACAGGTGTCTTATTTCAGGTATTAACAATCAAAGGTCGTTCGTCAGTTCATGAGCTTGGTCACACTCACCATGAGTCGAGCTAGGTGTGCGCACAAAGGCGAAGGCTTCCGCCCCTCCTGGTATCGTGTAAGGTCCTTGACCGGCAAAAATGTAACGAAAGATGTCGCTGGGGTTGAGCAGACGTGCGTCGTTCACCGTCGAGTCATTGACCACAAAGACCAGTCCGTTAAGCGTAATATGATCCTGCAAGTTGTAGCCGACTGGCAAATCCTGCAGCACAGTTATGTTGTGCTCAGCCAGATGGGCCCGGGGACCCACACCCGATAGTAACAGCAGCTGGGGACTGGCAATGGCCCCGGCTGACACGATTACCTCCTTACGAGCACGGACCACAAAGCGCTGACGCTGCTTCATAAACTCCACACCCACAGCGGTCTTCGTAGCTGGATCTATGAGGAGTTTGGTTACCCAGCTCTTCATCGAAATATGCAGATTCTTGCGCTGCAGGATGGGACGGATGAAGGCCTTGCTGGTGCTGCAGCGTCTGCCATTTCTTATGGTAGCCTGTGAACGCGAGAAGCCCAACAACTGCTCCCCATTGGGGTCAGTGATGTCATAGCCCAGCTCTCGTCCCGATTTGAGGAAGGCCTTCAGCAGCTGCGACTTATAGTCCGTATACTGCACATCCATGGGACCGTTGCGTCCATGGTAGGGTGATTTGTAGAGCTCGGGAATGCCGATGCGCTCCGACTTCTTGAAATAGGGCAGCACATCTGCATAGGACCAGCCGGTATTGTTCGCCGCCGCCCAGCTATCATAGTCCCTTCGATGCCCTCTAGTGTAGAGCATGAAGTTAATGAGACTTGTGCCGCCCACGCCACGACCCTTCGGCCAATTACACACGCCCTGTCGCAGACCCTGGCAAGCATTCGGGGTCGGCTCCGCCTTATAGCCCCAATTATAGCGGGTCATCTGAGTCAGAGCCGCCGTCAGCGGCACATCGCTGATGAAAGTCTCCTGATCCCCCGCCTCCAGCAACAGCACGCTGGCACTCGGTATTTCGCTCAATCGATTGGCCAGCACACAGCCCGCAGTGCCAGCGCCCACCACGATGAAGTCATACTCCGGCAGGAAGCGGGTGGTGTCCGGAATGCGGGTATTCAGCAGCGAGGTTTCGAAATCGCGCGCCAATTCCACCAGCAACTGCGACTGCACAGTCGTCGAGAGCAGCAGCAGAGCCAACAGCCAAGTCGCCCCTCGGTCGCTCATCTTCAGGGTCCAGCTGCAAAGTTGCGATTTCATAAGCAATTAGTGAAAAGTTCTACTCCATGCGATTCGATTTCTAGCACATTAGCAGGCAACTGTCAAGTGGAGCAGCCTTCATCGCAAAAGTGAAACCTGTTTGCATAACTCCGCCAAGGCACATCATGGTTCACTGGCCAATGTTCTTGGCCATGCACAGAATTTGCCAAATATCAGTAATACTCATAATATACGAGCTGCCATACCTGCCAGTATTTTGTTACATTCTTGGAGTATTTTTAGCTTGTGAGACCCACAACACATAAAACTCTGAATAAACAATACACCACCTTTCCCTAGTCTAGCCAGGCACAGTAGTTGAATTGTGGTTGTTGTTAATTACGGCAATTAGTTATTAAAATGGGTATATTTAAAAAAGACATCCTTCAAAAGCTTAAGCTTTGCAAGGAGGCTCTTTTTTTGCCAAGCCCGACCATTTCAGGTATCTATAAATAGGTGATATACAAGTAACTGCCATTTAAGAACCCTAATTCTTAGGGTGAGAACAAACGATGGGGAAGACCGACCAACATTGATGAACGGTGTAAGCGGAAAATTAGGCATATTGCTATTCAAAAAGACATGTCATCTAATAAGATAAGGGATCATTTGGATCTCAACAAAGACGGGTTCTCAATTTTACTTTGTTCCTGTATTATGTAGATTGAAATTCTTGGAACTCGATAAACCATGCTTTTAAAATCCTGTACCAAATACCAAATACTATAAGCAATTACATAAAAACACCAACCAAGACTTAAAAAAAAAATAAAGAGTCTACTTTAACAAAAAAGGACTAATTGAGGACTAAGCTAGCCAATCATAGCGAAGTTGTCTGCCATAGGGATATTAGTAAAGATCGGTCATGAGACCTCTACCTGCAACACGCTATATTATATTATTATTAGATAAATATAAAATAAATAAATGTGTTGAAGAACAATAGGTATAACAGAATTCGACCCACATTAAACAACGGTCTGAAAAACAATGTCCGAATACAATATTTCAATGTGTTATGCCAAAAAACTTGGGAAAATACACATGACCCGAGACAATCTAAAGAAGTCTATTATATTTAAAAGCATTTAAGAATAAAGAACAGTTAGGTAACAATGCAAAACTATAGGCATTTATTCTTTGGAACTATCTATTCTTTAAATTTTGAATTTGTATCTTAAAAGGAATACCCTGTGCTAAGGGTGTAGAATAAAATTAAATACTTAATACTATATATTTTCACTCTTCCTATTCAACTTTTATTTAAATTTGCACTCATATTAATTAATTAAAACTTTTTAACTTTTTTTATAAACATTGTTTTCTATTATTGTAAAAATAAACAAACAACAGCATTTTTTTAAAGTAATAGTAATTTAAATTTGACTGTGAGCAACAAAAAGTTAAAAAAAAACCTTTATTAAAGACAGAACAATTCTCAAAAGTTGTCTGCTTTTACTTACTTTTCTCTTTTGTTTAGTTAAGTGATTTATACAAACTTGCTCTTGCTAATAGAAGTATATTACCAGATGTTGCTAACAATGTGTCTGACTCGAGGTTGTGTTAAAAATTAAGTAGACAGTATAACAGAAAAAACCTAAATTCATAAACAAAGTGTTTAAAGCGCTAATATGTACTTATTAAAAATGTGTGGGATTCTGATTATTATAATGGTGTAATAATTAAAGCTTTAATGCCTATTTAATTTGATAATAGGTATAAAATATGGATAATAAAGGGCAAAGATGATTCAAAGGCAAAGTTCATTTCGCAAATAAATTAGCAAATACAGCAACTATTGTTGTAAGACTTATGCAAATGTGGGAAACCAAACTTTCCCAAAAATATCCGCCGATTATAATTTATTGACTCAATGGAATATTCAATGATTACTTTCGAAATGTTTTGCGGCGTTTCAATGCCGCCGATTATCAGTTTCTTCTTCAAGGTCATCCCCTGTAATATTCTTACTCTGCAATAAACATAGCTTCTTATTATCACACACATACACATACACACATGCATACATACATACATGTGTATGGAGATAATAATAAATGCAACTGCCTACCGAACATGTTTCGAGCTCAAGTTCAACAGGTTTCGACGGCTCGGCGCTTACATCGGCCGACCGTTGATTGCTCCAAAAACAGAGAAAAATGCGAACAAAATAATGAACTTGCAAAAAAAGAGAAGAAACAATAAGCACATGGATATAAAGACCGGTTCGCAATCAAAACAGAGACAAAGAGAGAGAGAGAGAGAGAGAGAGAGAGCGCAAAGAAAAAGAGGCAGCTCCACAGGCCCAACGAAAAATGAAGAAGACCCCCAAGCCATTCCAAGCCACAATGATCGCAAGTTTGTTCACCAAAATACATTTTTGCGCGTTGACCCATAAAGCGAATGTATGTGCGGATGTCAATAAACAAGCACACATAACAACAACAACAACAACAACAATAAGAAATAAATTAAATTACTTAAAATCGTGGGCGCAACGCCTTCGTCCCTCCGCCCTCAGTCAGGCTGTCAGCTTGAAAATGTTTTTATATGCAAATGAGGCGTTCAACTTTGTTTTGGGTTTTTTGTTAACACTTCGCTGTTTTGTAGCTTTTAAGTAGAAATTGCACAAAAATAACAAATAACTTCAAGTAACCCCAATATGCCACGTTAGCCCCCTGAAGATACACTTAAAGCCGGCAGCAGCATTGTGATTCAATATCAAGAAAGAAACAGGTTTCCAGTTCCATCTACTTTGTCTTGACCTTGCCCAACTGCAATTTGTTCTACTCGTACTACATACAATGCCGCTCATCTGAATAGGTTCAAAGAACGCTGCTCAAATTTCGTCCAATATTTCAGCTTGTACTGCACATACATTTTGTTTAAATTATATGTTGCGACCTTTATTTGTTTACATTTAACATAGCACAGTACGCTTTAGTTTTTAAATTACAGAACCTATTCAAATGAGCCAATATAAATAGGCAATTTATGATATGTATTTTGAAAAAATTAAAAAAAATAAATAAATTGAAAAGAATATTATCCACCCCCAAACTTTGATGTTTTATTATCAATAAACTATTCTTTCTATCAAATTTTATATGATCCCAATTGACAATTTCTTTTAAAAGCTCTAATTATTTTAGCTTTTGGGAATCGTTGAACCTATTCAGTTGAGCGGCAGTGTACATACGCGCCCGGCCTCGATCACCTGAAACCAGAAACCATCAATTCTTTTGTCCGTTAAAATCAATCATGAATGCCGTTTTAAGAACTGACCTACGCCCAAGCTGCTGCCCAAGGTTTCTTCAGCACTTAAAATATCATTTTAGGCGAAGGGCCGCCTCTTGTTAGCAAAGATTCCGACAATCTCCAGTACATTGTTTTATAACCCATTAAACCTAACTTAATGGACATATCTGATATGATTTGAATGCCTGCATTGCAGGTGGAGTAAGACAAGAAACTTTTTACACCACTGACTCGTTGAAACCAGACTAAACGTACTTTTCAGATGATATCGGGTTTTATGCCCATGCCCATATACGAATATCTGATAAGTGTGTATGTGTGTGTTGGCTCTGACTAATTAGCAAAGTTCGACGAGCGGAACCTTGCAAAACGAATAATGTTGTGGCATTAATGTTGATAATCCAACAATCCAATTATTACTTAAGCAGATATTCATGCAGATAGGAAGTGTAAAAAATCCTACTAATAGGCAGTTAACGCAGCTATGTGTTCACAAAATGCTTGCAAGAACTAAGCTAATTAATTGTTCAACTCTTCAACAATTAACAAGTAATCGGACACGGACTACTGAGCAGCAGCTCGAGCAGAAGAATACAAATACATACAAGTAGTTACATAAATAATAAACAGACTACATTTCAACTTTAAATTCTAAATATAATACTGCATCCAAGACACGTTTTAGTAAGCAGTTGGTAATATTTATTTGTATTGCAATCATCTAATTTCCGGCCACTTGAAAATTGAAAAATGAAAACCATTTCATCTGTTTTCATGGCTCAGCAATTTTCCAAGTAAACGATGTTAGAAAATTATCTTGAGGCAAGAAGTACAATGATATGCTGCCTGCTAACTTTTAATCTCTTTCAAATTATCCCAACATCTGTATGGTTACAAAGGCTTACTTTATTCGATATTTAATTGGGTGTTTAGTTTTTAGGAATAGTGACTAATTGCACACTTCACTTCACTAATGCTGTTTAAATTTACTTATCAGTCAGCAAAACTATAGCTTATTTACAAAAAAAAAAAAGAAAGAAGAGTAATGTCTTGAATGTTAGTCAGTTAATTTTTTTTTCTTGAATAAAAGCACTGCTGACATTGGTAGAATAAGAAATTAAATTATAAAATCACACTTTTAAAATTTTTCAACTGCATCACTTTCATCACAATTCCAGGCAACAAGGTGCCAGCCGACGAATTACAAGACGCGGGGAAAACCATTTGCTGTAATCGAGTCCAAAATCTTCATGCCATGAAGGTGGATGAATAACACACCCTTGATATATCTGCTTTCTGTCTCCTTACAAGTATTAAATCAAGGGATTTTGTTATAATTTAAGAATCTGTTTCGGAACATACCTAAGTCTTTAGTAATTGTCGATTTATCAGAAACTAAGTATTTGACTCTTCTACTAAACAGATCTGAACAGAAAATAAAATTACTTTGTTCCTTCCTGCTGAACTAAATCTCATCCTTTCAGCCATCGTAATGGAAATTTCTGAACAGGCTTGGCCTTAAGTAGATTAATCAATAAATCGGCTAATTAAGTTTTTCCCATAGGATTGAAAGATTTATATTTTCACTCAGTTTATTCATTCTTTTATGTAATATCGTTCATTTGATTGAATTCTTCGTAGTCCTTTTTAGTATTTAAGTTTTTCGCTCACTCACTTATTTGCACCTAATTTAATTTTAGTGTAATTAACGTAATAGTTTGAAGCGATGTATATGGAAATCAATTTCTTGCTTAACAGACAAGCAACACATTATGAATTGAATTATGAACAATACGTTTCACACTTAAGCATTTGTAACCAGGAGGCTCTTCATCATAAATGAAATAAATTATTTTCAAGTTTATTTAA